CGAAGTTATCTGATATATTTTTCTTCATATCACCCAACCCTAATAGCAATACATTTGTACGATATAAGGTTATCACATCACCCTGATTTTTGCCTGCCTGTGTTTTAATGAAAAGCCAAGCTTAATTCTGTTGTGATAGTAACTTCTAGTGCTTTCTTTGACCTCCTCCTCTGTGATGAGTTCCTTTTTAGAGCCTGCTTTGTGATGTGTTCCTTTCTCTCTGTAAGCTGTTTTGCACCTACAGTATCCCTCTCACTGAAACTCAGAATACTGTGATGAAGTGCCTGTATCAGTGAGCTTTACCTTTCCCCTCCTATCAGAGCACCTCAAAACTGAGAGCTCTACTAGTGCTTGGATTAGTGCCTGTGATTGGCTTTCTTTTTTATTTCTCTCTCCTCCTGCATCCCTCACCCTCTCACCCCACCCCCCTGACAGAATGCTGCTTAGACACAATTGTGTTTGCTTAATATAGTGCTTCTTTGCTACATTCAGTGAATATTATTGTAAAATATAATCAACAAGACCAGAGAAAGCTACACCGAACATGCGGGTAAGATAACAAATAATAATAAATGGAACTTAAGTGTAGGCCTGCTGCATTGTGTAGCAAGTATAGTATTATAATATGAAATATGTTATTTTCGTAATACAATTAATGCTCATTATTTAAGAAAAATAAGTGTAAATTGGATATTCCAAGTTTACGGTTATGGGTCGCTTTAATTTCAGAGTTTCCGAAGTTTTTCGAAGATTTACCAGCAAATTGCCTTGTTTTGAGGACAAAAAGGATAGAGCTTTTTCAACATTTTCCTCCTCTACAAAGAATAATATACCTACAGTATTGTCACACCTATTCCTTTTTTAATTGGGATTTAAATGAGGCCTGATTTAAAATGTCTTCCTAATTGGAATGCAATGTAATCTCTTTTCATGTTATTAAGAAGCGTAGTAAAATGTATGACAACTTCTTTGGATCCATTTCATCCATAATAATGAGGAACCAAGTCTATTTCAAAGACACATTTTGGAGAAAAAACAAAACAGTTTTGTGATTTGCTTCTCAGGATGGGAATAAGGCAAGGCACCACCTGGTACTTACAACTGTAGAACTATTTTAGAGAGGTAAACTTTGCCTGTGTTTGTTGATAACATTGCTGTAGGATTATAATTAATGCAATAAATTCAGTTATAGACCTTAAATTGGTGTGTTCTTGTCAGTTTGTCCTTAAAATTAGAAGTGAAAATGCCTCTGTTTCTTTTTGGATGAGGATGGTTTTAATGCTGTTAGGCCCATAAGTTCACACACAAACATAGTCAGAATTATTTTACATAATTACATAGTATTCACAAAATGTTAAACAGTGGATTTGTTTTGGTCCCAGTTGAAGTGAAACACCCTTCTTATCAGTCCTGCATGGCTCCTCACTGCAGAGGGTTACCTTCTGCTCCTCTCCTCTCTATTATTGCGCCTGACTCTCAGTTGCAATGTTTTGTGCTCTTCTTTCCTCTGCCTTCTTTCCTCCAACCTGCTGCCCACCTCGATGTCATCATTTAACCTGCCATTTCCTCCATCACCATCCCCAGCCCCGGAGGTCAACGGTCTGCAGGAGCCCAGCCTAGCGAAGCGTCTGCGGGGAACTCCAGAGCGCATCGAGCTGGAGAACTACCGGCTCTCCCTGCAGAGGGAGGAGGAGCTGGAGGAGGTGCCTGAGGAGACGCTGGCAGAACACAACCTCAGCAGCGTGCTGGACAAGGGCACGGACGCTGACGACCTGGGCTCCAGGTAAGAGCAGGAGAAATAAAGAGATATGCTGTTGTTGTCTTATGCCTGCCAATTTCCATATGAATGTCACAAAACTTAGTCTCATTATTGTTTGCATTCCTACCGTTTGAGTGAAATCCAACATTCTCATTATAATAATACTCAATATTGCACAAATGTTTGAAGTTGCAATAACATTGTATCCTGAGTTAAAGTTCACCTATTAAGCAAAATCCATGTCTTTTATACATAGATATATATATCCCCTCTGTGTTAAGAGATTTGGAAAGTCTCTTTTTGTCTTGATCCATTTACTTAAAAACCTGTCTGAAAATTAGCTGATCAGATTTTGGCCACTTTGTTATGTCACAATGTAATTTTTTGGGTTGTTCAACTATTAGCCAATAATCAACCAAGGTAACGCCCGCACACCTTATCACCTGAATGGCATGCTACAATGCATGATCTGTTCAGAGACGTGTTTTGTCTATATCTGAGACGTATTATATGTTGATAAAAAAAGAGTATAAAAGGGGGCCTTTAAGTATGGTGATATAATCGTATCAATGGGCCTCTGTCAGCCTAAAAAAGGCGGTTGATTTTAGAATGGAATTTACCAAACACTTATTATTATAATCTTAGATCCGTTTTTATGGAAGAACAATAAATTGAACCCAGAAGAATTGTCTTATCAGATATTTTTTAGGACTCTTTTTAATTGTGTTTGTTAATTTCGCTTGGGGTGTCTGAGACATTAAAGACAAAGGATTTCTGACATTTTATTTAAACAATAAGATTTCAATGAAAAATGTAAATTATAATAATATTTTTTTTTTTTTAAATGACTTGTAGCCCAATGAGTCAGTCTGCATTTGTGCCTTGATAAGTAAAGCAAACTACAAATTCTTAGAGTCCTACAGAAAATGTAAAGCAGCACAGTGCGAAATATGAAGTCTCTTTCTGCCTCCCACCTGTTCTAACACATCACCGTGACTCCTCTTTCATCCAACAGTAGCTCAGAGTCAGACATGGAGGAGGAGGAGCAGGAGGATGCGGAGGAGGGGGAGCAGCATACTCTCAGCCCCTCAGACCTCGGCGGGGTTCCCTGGAAGGAGGCGGTGGAGCTCCACGCTAAACTGAGGGGTGAAGAGGGAGACGACGTGGGCGAGGCCCTCGATGATGCTGTCAGCAGAGACGGGGAAGTAGATGAAGATGACGAAGACGAAGAGGAGGAGGAGGATGATGATGAAGATGAGGAGGAGTCAAGCGATGGTAAATTTGTCAGCAGAGTTCCTCTAAAGAACTTTGGTGGATGGTAACATCCAGTCCAGACTCCATTTGTCCTTTGCAGAACTTCAATAATTTTTTTATTGAAATCTGTTTTCTGTAAAGTGTCACCATCTCAAAGTTTGTTATCTTCATCCTCTCTGCTTCTTTCCTCCCTTTCCCTTCCCTCCCTTTCATTACATCCCCCTGTGTCCACTGTGTGTGTGTGTATGTGTTTGTGCGTGTATGTGTGTTTGTGTATATCTGTTGTCTGTTGGCTCTCTGTCTCCCCCTGCTGGCAGAGGGTGATTACTGCCCCTGGGATAAAGAGCTCACGTCTGGCCTTTGGCTGGAGAAGCACCTCACAGAGCAAGACGATGTTGGTACATTTAAAGGTAGCAGCAGAACTGCCTGTGGATGCGTTTGCAGTTACTTTGAGCGTGATTTATAATCCTGGCTGGTTTGGGTTCTTTTTTCAAGGATTTCTATGACAAGTGTGTGGCTTTTTCTGTTGTCTTTGTTTTTTGTCTGTGTTGTTGTTTGTGGTTGTGTTTTTTTAAGATTTTGTGTTCATAAGTGTGCTTTATCTTAACCCTTTGAACCCCACCATCTGCTGGCGGGCTTGAAAGGCATGTTTATTTTTCCAAAAATATCAGCCAGCTACATCGGGGTACTACATAGGGATGTCCCTCACTCACATACAACATGTTGGCGCGCCAGCCAATAGAAGCATGAGTGATACGTAGTGATGTCAACATTTCAGGGAAGCAAACAGGTCTACAATCCAGGAGTTTCAGGCAGGGGAGGAGACTTTAGGACTTTAGCCTTTTTCATACCATTTACATGCACTCAAATCCTATACAACACATGGAGAACAAACACACATAATGGGGCCTCCTTTAAAGTCTTTGAAGCCTTGAATGCCTCAGCATTGATCAACAGTCAGGTAACAACAATGTTGTACAGAGGACAGAACAAGAGAGGTTGTGAAATTATTATTATCATCATCATCAATGACATTTAATTTGTGCACTGCACAACAGACGTCGCAGACGATGCTTTTCCCATAGAGGTGAAAGGCTTATAAATATGAGGCACATTAATTAAAATGCGACAGGATGCCCTAAAGCTGCACAGGGTTCAAAGGCTTGAGGACTTACTGAGAGTTGTATCCCAATTCTAACCTGTTTAATACCTCTCTGTTTGTATATGGCTATAATAAACTAATCTGATAAATGTCTGAGATTTTTGTGATTTCCCCCCAGGCGCTGCAGCTATGTTTTGGTATTGAATTGAATCGTTGTGTTTTAAAAAAATATATATTTCTTTCTTTGACCTCATATCTTTGCAGCTCCCCTTTTATGGTTTGACTTTTCTTTTGCAGTGTATGCATGCAGCCTTCCTCTATCTGGCCTCTCTGATGATTTCCTTTTGTTTTATTGCGAGTGTATTCTAATTTGTATCTGCCTTCTTTCTTTCCTTTTTGTCCTCTCTTTTCCTTCCACTGTTACCTTTCCTGCACATCTGCTTCCATCTCTCTCGATCCGTCTCTGATCTCTTGGTTCACGCACAACTTCGCATCAACACCAAAAACACAACTCCACACCAACACGCTAATATAGCCAGGAGCATACAGATCCAACAAGTCCTGCAGCCTGTGGATCCCACGGCCATACCGGGCCTGGTGAGAACACACCTGGACTCTGAGGGAGACAAGGAGGCACAGCTGGCCTCCCAACTCTCCCGCTCCACAGGTAACCCTCCCCCTCAGAGGAGCAGGGGATGGCTCACAGGGATAAGGATCAGGGTGTCTAAACTCACCAGCGTGGCTGCTGCTGTCCTGTATGTCTGCACCTCCCCACTAACCCACCTTTTTTGTTTTAATCATCTCTGATTTTGTCTGATTTTTGTCTTGGAATGTCTAATTTTTGTGTTCATTTTTTTTAATTTTTTTTTTTAAAGTGTGTCATTTATTGTCTCTGGTGAACATTACGTCCCCTGTCAGTTTTTGTTCTTTTGTGTTCTGCTTTGTTCCTTCTCATGTGTCTAATTACTTTACTTGTTATTTCCCCGCCATCTATCCCTCGTTGTTCCCTATCGTCTGGTTTGAACGTAGTCCCCGCCCACACATCCGCCCGACGTGAGGCAGTGAGAGTCTGGTTGGAGTCCTTGTCTGGAGGTAGCACAGACTAACAAAAATAAAAAAGGGGGATCATTGGCATCCCGTCTTAGACTCGTTCTCTATCTCTCTATCGGCTGGCCTTTTCCTGGAGCATGCAGACACACTCGGAGCCCAGCACACTCACAAGCATGCACGGTGCAGGGCTGTCGCTCCAAAAAGTTCAGCTTTCTTGGGGTCAAACTTCACTTCCCAACCTCTCAAACCTACCCTTCCAACTTCCCTTCACTCACAATACCATGTTGTACTGCATTGTAATGTATTCCAGAGACAGACGAGTCATCAAGATGCGAAATCACTTAACAACACAGTGTTTCTTTCACCGGGAATTGGCCATTGTTATAACCCATTCACGGCACTTTAACTTGCAAAAAGTCCGATATTGAGGCTTCAATGGTATTTTTATCAACTTGTATAGACTTAACTGAGAATAAATGAGAGTCCTATGTATTTGGATTTATAGGCACCACTTGATTTAGGACTAAAAAGCTTAGTAATGTCCAACTAGATTTAAATATTCCCTCAGTATCTGCCTGTGTTCCCACATGGACAAAGGTCAATCGAGTGCATTTGGCAGAAATGAGGGTTAATGTATTATTATTCAAAAAATGCAGGAATTAACTGTGTGAGACACTTTTCCCTTTTAGTCTCTACCACCAGATTTGTTTTAAATGATGGATTATTGTTCTTCACTTAACCAATGTCATTAACATTTTGGTTGTGCTTATTGCTTGTTTTAACAGCCTCCATTTGCTCCTTTAATGGATATCTGCATGTGTCTATTCACTAATGCTACTCTGTGGCTAACCTTTGTTCGTGTATGATTTTCTTGCCGGAGAGCTTTCCCCTAAAGCTTTCCTCCGAGAAAAAAAGGATTTTGGTTTTGAAGCCTTTTCGTCCTTTTTCAAACTTTATTTTTTTTCATCTTCACATTCTGCGCTCTTCTTTTAAAAGTGGTTTCATTAAGTCATCTTTGAACTCTGGTACTCTTTTCTCTTTTATTTTATCCTTTAACATTCAGCCTGAGTCGAGTATCTTTGAGGAAAGTTCAGTTAATGTTAGGAAGTTGAAAAATATTTTCTCTCTGTTGCCTGAAAAGAGAGGTTGTCACACAGTCTGCTCACTTTGCTTCATTCTTTGTCAAACCAGAGCCCTGTGAGGATGACGATCTGGAGGCAGAAGCAGACAGTCCAGATATGGAGCCGGGGACCGAGATGGATCAGGGTGAGCTGTCAAAATAATACAAATATGGATCCATAAATTCTTATAATACTTTTTGGGTTTACAAAGAACTCAGCTTTGCTACAATACCATATCAGAAAATGACAATATGAAGCTTTGAAACAACTTAAAATGTCATATTGTTCTCCTTGAATTCAAGATGACATCCCTTCAGATGCAGAAGCTGAGGCTCGCTTGCATCAGTCCGAACTCGTTGACGTGCTTCCTGAGGAGGACAAGAGATCAGAAAGTCAGAGAATGCCCTCCAGTATCGGTACGTCCCAAATAATTCATGTGAATTGATCCCTCAGTAATATTTCAACATGATTTAAAAACAAGTACTATTTCTTTTTTATTTGTGCATTCAGAAGTTTTCAGCGCCAGCCCCACACAAAATAAAGATGTTGTTATTTCGCCGCTCAAACCTTCTCCAGAGCTCGAATCAAAGGTGAGATAACTTTGCAATTATTATGCTAAAAAAGAGCCGGGTCATATGGCTTATAAATAATATTTTCACGTTTTTAGGCTATGCCAGGATATCTGATATATATTGCTTGATATTTTCATAGTAAACTAAACTGAACGCTTATAGTGATGTGCTCTAAAATTGATGATTGAAAATGTATTCTCTAATATTAAGTTATTATTCACGAAATTAATACAAATACAAATTCAGTTTTGCAGGCGTTCATTTTATTTTAATTAAAATATTTTTTTATATATGTATATTTTTCATGTTTGTCATCTTTATTCATTTATTCTTTGTTGACTGACTAAAAAGAATGTGAAATTATCTATAATGTTAACCAGTGAAATTGTCTATAATGTTACTTTTATTTTGAAGGAACTTCGAATTTCCATTTACTGTAAGAATATTTACTTATTAATATACACAGACCTCAAAACATGAGTGCTTATGAACTTGATTTGGAGCTCCACTTCTTGTGCCGTCTAGGCTCTTTCCTTTAGTCTGCTTTCAGTTTAGACTAAATCCTGATCATGTCTGTTTCCTTTCCAGATAAGTCAGTTGAAGTCTCCTGGCAGTCGCTTTTTCCCAGATCCATTCATACCTGAGGAAAGGGAACCTGAAAGGACGACGCCATCTTACTCTCCGACTGCACAGAGCCCACTGAGCTCTCCACCTGCTCCAGTCCAAGACCCTTCCTCTGTCCTTTCCCCAATTGCTGCTGCTTCCCCTGTCGGTGTCCCGGCCTCCTCCCCCCTGGGTTCACTCATCAAATCACCCATCAGCTCTCCGGTCAAGCCAACAATGGAGTCCCCCATTAGATCCCCTGTTAAGTCACCTGTTGTGTCCCCAATCTGCTCTCAGCCCACCCCCCTTCCAGAGACTTGCACACCTAAATCTCCTGTCTACCCTCAGCGCTCAATTTGCCCTCTAACTGGGAACCCCCTCTCCCCAATCTGCGCTCAGCCTTTGCCCTGCCAGGAGCCTTCGTCACCCCTCCTATCAGACTCTCCCGTCAGATCTCAGCCTATCCCCGGAGTCACTTCTACACCCATGACCCAAACAGACAAGGTCATGCCTGATCTCTCAAAGTGCGAAGACTCCTCCACAGAGGAAACGCCATCCAAAAAGACAGACATCATTGAGGAATTTTGGCAAAAGAGTGCAGAGATCAGGAAGAGCCTCGGGTTGACACCTTTGGACCGCACAAGTAAAATCTTAGAGAAGAGTGTTGTGATCTATCCAGCACTGGACTCCACCCCTGTCAAGGCTCTGGATGTGCCCGAGGAACAGAAGCCTGCCTTTACTGGCCGAGCTGTCATTCGCAGGCTGAACATCACTCTGGAGGGCCAAGTCATTACCCCCATTTCCCCCAAGAGTATTGGCTCCGATAAGAGGGACCTGAGCAGCAGCTCTGGCTTAGGCTTGAATGGGAGCATGGCCACGAGCCAGACAGCAAACAGTGACAGCTTCAACACGTCCGACTCCACCATGCTCACCCCGCCCTCCAGCCCGCCACCACCTGTGCCTAGTAATCAGTCTCCAGCCATGCTCAGGCTGCAGAAACACCAGGTGTCCTGGTGCAACGGGACGGAGAAACATCCCCCCGAGAATGCCAAAGAGCCGGCCAAAATCAAGAGTCCCGTTCCGGCGCCGAGGACACAATTGAGCCCTGTGTCCGTGCCCAAACCTGCACCCAGGAAAGTCATCTCGCCTCAGGCTGAAACGGCTCCAGTGGTCGTCATGAGGGAGAAGAAGAAGAAGCCATGGCCGCAGGAGGTGAGGAAGTCGTTTGTGGAGACGGTGGAGGAGATTCCGTTTGCAGATGACGTGGAGGACTCCTACGATGAGCGGACGCCAGAAACGAGCATGAACAGGTACTACACCCCCCCCACCAGCAAGCCAAACCGGGACAGACCTCCCCTGCATCTGGCTCTAGCGATGGAAAACGGTAAACCGAACATCCCTGGAAATGAAGCTTTTAAGTCACAGAGGGCAACTCAATTCTCCCCGGAGGCTAAGGAGATCGCTGAGGAGAGAATGAAGGCCAGAGAGAAGTCGGTGAAGAGCCAGGCACTAAAAGACGCCATGACCAAGCAGCTAAACAAGATGAAAGAATCTGACACAGACAAGGGGGCGGCACCTAAAGTGGCCTTGGGCGTAACCTCAGAGGGTAAAAAGTCAGCAGGATCTCCGAAGACATCAGCCGTGAAAGCTCTGGAGTCAAAGAAGGCCGAGACTTTACCGGAGCGTTTCTTCAGCAGCAACAAGAGTCTGGACAGCTCGGTGGCCTCGTCAGACGGCTCGAGCTCAGGCAAGAGCAAGAAGAGAAGTTCCCTCTTCTCACCACGCAAGAACAAGAAGGAGAAAAAGGCCAAGAACGACAGCAGCAGACTGCCCGGCACCGATGAGACACCGCCCAAACACAAGTCGCTGTGGAAGGCCGTCTTCTCGGGGTACAAGAAGGACAAAAGGAAGAAGGATGACAAATCGTGTCCCAGCACACCGTCCTCAAGCTCCACCACTCAGGACTCTGGGAAGAAGAAAGCCTCACCTACTGGGAAATCATCAGGTAAAAAAAGCTAGCTGTGTTTATGTGTCGTTGGTATTTATTGGTTTCATTGGATATTAATTTTACTGTTATGTATTAACTATATCCTATAAACCCATATTTATGTAAGCGGTTATTTTCCCCACCCTCTCCCCCTTTTCTTTAATTGTTTTAATTTAATTGATTTATGTATTTTAATTTTTTTAATTTGAATTGTATTTATTTGTAATTTCATCTTATTTAATAATAAGCTTTATATCTATATTTTCTTATTTATTTTCACTATGCTCTGATAACAAAAAGCCATCCAGTGCAGTTTTTAATGTTATAGTTTCTTTGTAACATTTCCAGTGATGATGTAAACTCTGACGCTGCTTTCTGTTTGTTGCAGACATGAAATCCCGCAGAAACCTGAGCTTCTCTGAGGACTCGGACCTTTCCTGTGATGATGTTCTGGAGCAGTCCTCGCAGAGATCAAAGGCAGATGTGAGTAACAATAGAATAAATAATGTTGCTTCTTTGCCAGGAGGAATTTAGACTGTTATAGCCTTTAAAAGCCAGACTGAGCGGATTTTAGCTTTGACATTTAAGTCTGCTAAACATATGCTGACAATCAGGGGAGGCCAGCTGCTCAGAGCCGGACCAGGCAGCAGACTCCCGGGAGCGTTTTGAATCACGTGACTCTCCCCCTCATATCATATCATGCTTCATTTTCTTTTTTGATTTAAGTTGATTTTTGTGGAGAATTTAGGCCAAATCAAACATTGCTCCCTCCTTGTGTGGTGTTCATCCAGTAAGGTGTAAAGCACAACAACAAAAGCATATTGATCCCTGCTTTGTATGCTTGTTTTATTTTTCAAGACCTGAAGAAAGGAAACGACATTTGGGGACAGGCCTTTCGCAGGCTAGATGTGAAATTCATACATTTCCTGTTTTAAAAACCTTTAAATGATTTCTCCCACTCCCAGCAGCACATGGACATCTTTGACCTAGTATCAGGCATGCAAAAGGAAGCGATTAAGGAAGAGAAACTGGACAAGGAGAGAAGGAGGGAGTTAAAGGAAAGGAAGAGGTTGAAAGAAAAAGGGCGGGAAAAAGAGGTTGATCGGGAAAAGGAGAAAGACGACGAGGAGGTATTGCGCAGAGAGGGTTAAATGACTTTGATTTTCACCTGAACATGATTTTGTAACATAATACAAATAGAATTATAGTTCACAAAGCTTGGATCAAACTTTTAGACTGACCTCTAATTCCTGTTATAATTCTTTTATAGTGTTAGAATAAAAAGTGCTTACATTTTTGTCATCATGAAAAACACACATTTCCAAGAGCTTCAGCACCACAATATGACTTATGCTTAATGCACTCTTATAATGATATCCATTAGCTGATGTAGTCAATTATTTAGTACGATAGATTCATAGAGTATGCAGGTGGCATATTAGGACGATGCAGCAACTCTGCACACAATGCCCGCTTTTGTATCGTGGAGTTATTTTTTATTAGAATCCATTTGCATTTATTATGTCGGGCTGAAATTCAAAGTGATTGTCTCCACTGCTGCTCTGTCTGTGTTTGTGTTTTCTGTTGGTTTAGAGATAGATACAGTGGAGTTCACGGCCAGAGGCATGAATTCATTACCAGTAGTAAACACATTTTTTAAAGTCAGCCACGATCAAATGTAGTTTTCTTCACTTTGACAAGATATGAAGAATTGACATTTTGGTTATTCTTCAATATTGTTGATTTGAATTTGGAATGAATGCAGCTCCAGTCACAGGAGGTTAAAGCTGGATCATGCCTGCCGGGCTGTGCATAATTCAATAAAAGCTCATAGGAATAGGAATAGGGAAGTGGACTAGTCCCTAGTAGTGACTGTTGTGGTGTTTAGAGTTCCCCAGATCTGTGAGTGTAGTAGATACATTCTTTTCCTGTAGAGATTATCATGGTAAATCCCCCTGGTCTTAGCATCTGTAACATCTGTGTTCCTACAATGTGATTTGTTCTTCTTATTTCTGATTAACAACAGATGTATAAAAAGTCGCCGCACCTTGCCATTTTTGTGTTGGTGTGGGGTATTAACATTGCCTGTTTTTGATTTAACCAACTCAATTACTTATTTTGTTTTATTTGTTAATTTAACATAATCATTAACCCATTCAATCATATCATCTGTATCATGTGTGTTTCCTCCCTTTTTTTTGTTTTGTCTTCCCAAAGTCTTTATATGTCCCTCACGCACTGGCGTTCAAGAGATCGTACGCCACAAAGGTAGTATTACATATGTTCCCATTGATAACTACACCCACCCCCTCAGCGCATGCGCCAGTTTCCTGTCATAACACCTCATGTGCACCCGGCCTAAAACTAACCGTCCTCTCTGGATGCATGAGACAGTCGGAGCGCAGCGCCCACTCACTCACTGCTGGATATCCACTCTGTTCAAACATGACTTTCCCGATGGCGCTCACTTTTCTGGTAACAATGATACCTCTTGATATCAGGGGCTGTTCCTCTCTGACTGGTATGACATTAACCTGCCTATCTGTCACTGTGGCCTCTGTTTTACTCCGGTCTGAATACTGGATTAACTCTTGACGTTTTCCTTCAGTGCTGTTCTCTCTTTCTCCTAATTCCTGCCAGCTTTTTATGTCCTTACAAGTCAGACACTAGGGGGAAATGCCCCTTACTCTACTGTATTGCCTATTGTTATGGAAAATTCTATATTAGATTGTAATTTTGAGAGCTGAAGTGAAGATGATGTATAAATAGGGGTTTTTAAGGGCCAATATAAGAGAGAAAAAACTACGCAGCCAACGTAATGAACTCAAAAAACTCAAACCTTCTTCCAATATATATATATATATATATATATTCCCTGAGCTTAAATTGGTACATTTTCAAGGAAAATAACATACACATTTTCTTAAAGATTATTATCATGATACGTTAAAAATCGTAAAATAAATGTCCAGGTTATTATCTTTACGTTTCTCGAACATTTTATTTAATTTAAAAAAAATATTATCCACCTCTCGTGGCTCAACATTTTATTTATTTGTTTGCCTAGAATACACTGTCATATAGATTATATCGGCCATATTGTGTTCCAACTGATATTATGTAACCATGCTTTAAAATTGCAACCCATAGACTTTAGAAATGCCTTAATAAGGTGTGTACTCTGTAGATACTGTGCAGTGAAGGTAAATATCCCAAGATAGATACATTGTGTCAGTCAAAGTTGTCCCTCACCTTCTGCAAGATCTAAACTGAACTTCCCCCCTCCTCTTCCGTTCAGTTTTGCTGAAGGGCCAGGGCCCCATGGAGTCAACTCCACACATTAGCAGCATGTGAGTGAGACTTATCTGACCCTTGTCTTTGTTGTTACACCAGAAAACCTACACAGAGGAAGAGCTGAATGCCAAGCTGACCCGAAAGGTCCAGAAAGCTGCACGACGGCAAGCCAAGCAGGAAGAACTGAAGAGGCTGCACAGAGCTCAGGTAACTGACCTTTGGACCCCCTGTGACCTTTGCTGCATCCCCACTGTAAGATGGACCTTTGTCATTCCTGCCCTCCTCAGGATGACATGTTTGGTGACCTCTTTGACTTTTCATCGAGAATCATTATTTAACTACATCTCAGTTTGTCCAGTAGTATTGTTTTATGACAAAATGCTTGTCATATCCATCAGCATCTAATGTACTTATTGTACTATTGTAGCTAGCAGATTAGTTCACTATACTAAGACGGTAATCATTCTACCTCCATGTCAGCATCATTCATTTAGGCTGTTAGCATGCAAATTTAGCCTATAGCTTAAAGCTTATATTGTACTGCTAGATGGCTGTGGGCTCTCAGCGTCACACCTTTTTCTTTCATTTTGAAAGTAGGTCATTATTTTGTGATGGTGTACTTATGATGTTTGTATGATGAATAGCTCTTTCAAACCGTAAGATCAAACCATTATTCATGTCATGCATGCATGTCAAACAATTTAAAAATAAAGCTTGCTATGTGTATGTCTGTAGGGTTAGTGACATATCTGATAAGGCTACATGAGTAGTGCTGTCACTATAACTCAGTGTTGTTCTTTATAAACCATATGGTCACTCTGATGTGACTCAACCCTCTTGGAGTGAATCCAAATCTGTCCTTCCCACTGATTGTTGTTGTAACTCTGCAGTCAGACTTCCAGTCCACTGACTCAGCAATAAGCCACAGCTAAAGTCTCTACTCCCGGAGCTGTGGTTAGGTGGCCTACATTTTTATTTCTTTTAGTGGCTGTTTGTAGAACCTACTGTATGCCACACTTCCTTTTTAGATTTCTCTTGCTGAATGCTAGTGACAAAGTTCAGCACAGACAGAAAGTTAGAGTCTGAGGGAGAAATCCTTTTTGCTGTTTGTTCTCTGTTTATACATTCTCGCTTTGGAGTTGTGGGAGAGAGTGGCATGAACTTTGGTATTTAGTCTTTGCAGACCATGTACTAGCACAAAAAACACACTATAGGACAGGGAAAACCCCCAAACGTATAACAGGCCCCCTTTAAAGACCTGCATAACCCACAACTATTTGAAAAACAAATTGGTTTTACATGGGCCACTCAAATAAATGCTCTTCACTTATTGACCACTCAGTAGTTCTTGCAGTTTATAGCAAATAGTACCTGCTGCCGTAATGAATGAGAATGACTGCAATAACTAAGCCTAACTGAAGTATCTTTCATTGTTAACAAAGGTGAAACATAATTTATGTGTCCAATGCGTAGTTCGGATCGGCTTACAGATTTGAATTTCTATGCTACTCCCTTTCATCAAGTGTAAGAAAAATTGGGCAGTATTTTTTCCTTAATCCTGCTTACTGAGAGAAAAGCAGAGCTGAAAAAGTAACCTCCTTGGCATAGCTGAATAAAGATATTCATTGACAGGTTCTATCCCCATTTTTAAGACTTGCCGCTGATTCTGGGATTAAGATTGGGTACTCCGCACCGGGAAGTGATTTTAATTCAAATGCTGGTGTTAAAAGGCCGGACACTTTGGCTTCCCCAAGCTGCTTCCCCTCTATCAGTCCTGCTAATAGGAAGTGAGAAAGTGGTGTGTCGGCCAAAGAGGGGAGAACTATAACATATTAATAATTTTTGGTGAAATTCATTACACAATATTTGCCTTTTTGGAACAAGCTTTCAAACTTGTATACATCAATAGAGTTCTCATTAGCAGTGCTCACGCTTTGCCTTGAGAAATTAGTTTTTTAACGAGGGTAAACTATTGAATTAGGGGTAAACGTGAGGCACAAATCAGCTGTAATTAGTGATAGATGTTGTTGTTTTGTGCACCGTGTGAGATAACTCAAGTTGTCAGTAATACGCTGTGCTGACTCCCTTACTCTCTTTGCCATTTAGATCATCCAGAGACAGTTGGAGCAGGTGGAGGAGAAGCAGAGGCAGCTGGAGGAGAGGGGTGTAGCTGTGGAGAAAGCTTTGAGAGGAGAAGCAGGTAACGATTTGTCTCTCATATCTTCAAAAAAAATGTTCTGGCAATCCCACCTAGACTTGCTGCCAACATTCAGTGAACTACAGGGTGTAGCACTATAAAACATTGAACCCTGTTAATATTAAACATTTTAATATTGATGTACTGCATGTATGACGATTTAATCTTATTTATGTGGCAGTACTGGCTCTGCAAGGCCATGTTTTATATTTATATGAGTTCAGTAGGTTCTAAAGCTCTGAAGGGAAAAATAATAATATCTATGATTAGGACCGAGAAACGGCCTTACAACTGAAAAGCTGTCCCTCTGCAATCATTTAGACTGTTGAAATCACACTCAGCATTTCCAAGTCAGTCAGTCTTTCTGAAGCATAGTCCTGCTAGATTTGTGCCAGAAAGAATTATTTGTTTCTCCAAAGTAATAATCCAAAAATTGTTGTTGGCAAGAGACTATCCCAGAGAATATATTTCTATTTTCTAAGATGCATTATGTGTTTGTGGGCAACACAGTTTGCTATTTGCTACTCCATTATAAGAATGTGAAGCATGAGTAGTGCTCAGCAGCAATAACACATTATTTATGTGATATGAGTTTTGTATGCGAGTAAGGCACAGAAGTTGTTCTTTATAGAGCTGACAGAGTACCCAATACTAATTTACTTAATGATATAATGGTGACAGAAGCTCCTTTCATGCAAATGCATGCATTAAACATCTCTTTTAAATTCGGCCACCAAGCTATAATCTATTTACTTTTCCCATCAGCTGTGTCTCTAGCCAAATGTCTGAGTATGTTTTAACTTGTTTACTACTCTACTCTCTTAAAGGATTGTATAAAGGTACTTATACATTACCCAAACAGCACAAAAGAAGATCAGGTATTAGATTTACTCTAGTTTATTTTTAATTTTTTGACATGTGACACTGTTATGTAGGCTCCATCATCTGTGGTGACACACTGCAACATTTCTCCATCTCTGAACATGTCGATCGTTGTCCGTTCATAAACATGTCCGCCATCATCAGTCTGAGCTGCATGCGATCAGGAGAATGTGTGTCCCGACATAGATTTGTGTGTTTGCTCATTCTGGATGTGTTTGTGTCTCCGTCACTTGCCTCTCAATGAGGAGAGTCTCTGTACTCTGATCAAGACTCAGGTCACGCAATCAGAATGAAAGAAATCACATTTAAATTGGTTTGCAGGACGTCTTCATTAAAATATGTTCTGCATATGTGGCTGAGTAACTTGATACAGATGTTTGTTGAGATGTATTAAGAGTTATGAGTAACAGCAATCCAGAGTTGTTTGTGACTGTCTGCTGTACTCAAAGATCTCAATTAATTATCAGCTGTGCTTTCCGTCCAAAATGATTAAGTAATAAATCTGGTCCACACGGGTTGGAACATAACTTGTCAAATTAAAGCTTTATTTGCTGTTTGAAAAAAATGTGTCCAATTAAACATGCACAGCGAGAACAAGGCCACATGATACATTACGAGAGGCTTTGTGTGATATTCAGCAGACTGAGCCACCAAACAGCAAATCTATGTTGCATCCTCTTATTATTTTGGGAAATGCCATTGTAGTATTGCCCAACCTGACTGCACTGTGTTGAGTACGGATGGACTCTCTTTGTTCTGAGTGTGGCTGCAGTGTGTATGTGTGTGCTTGCAAGAAAAAGCATGTCTTTGGAGAATTGTTTGTGTGCCCAGTTTGGGGCCTTTTTAAAATAACTGCTATCTCTAATATATCCCTGTCATTGTAGACTATTGGGGAGATTCTAATTACAGTGAAATCCTGGACTTGCATCTGGGCGGTATGTATTTCAAATCTGTCGCTTTAAACTAACCTAATGGCTAACCCTATCTGTCCCCCCCCCTGTTTTACTACCTGAGCTTTGTACCCCTTATATCTCCCTTGATTGGCTGCCTTCCCGACTGATTGGCCGGTGTGCTTTCCACCTTATCGCAATACTTTCTGCTCCCATAACCCCCCTTCCTCCCTCCCCACTCTGTCCCCCCTCCTCCCCCCTCACTGGGTTTCTAGTTCAGACACTCTTTACATCAAACAGGGATCACACACTTGGCCTCATGCAGTCCTCTTAATATCATCTTTGATCTCCGTAAATCCATGAATGATGAATGAGTAAATGAATAAGTAACTTTTATTTGTCCCTCCTCGGCACGCAGACCTTACAATACAAAACTGCACTAGAGAGAAACACTGTGACATATTGCAGAGGGAGATGTTGAAATAGCAATGTATATTCCTGCATTTATAAAAACCTGAGGTCCACTCCAGCAGAGACAATTAAATACAAATAAATATATGCGGTATATTTGATTCTGCATGCAGAACATGCCCTTTAAATATTGCCTTCCTTTGCATATTCATTAAACATAATTTGTTAACCAAAACTATTATATTAAAAGTAGCATCATGATGCTTGGATTCTAATCTAAAGTTACAAGCTGCTGATAATAAATCCCAGAGCAAATCACCAAATCACATAAAAAGACCATCAATATTAATAGGAAATGTTTAGTGGATTAAGAAAAAATTTATTTAGAGAAATTATAGTAACTCATGAGAAAAGCATATCCTTTACCCAGAACCCCGAATTGTATCTAACTGGGAGTACATTTGTTTGGTAACATCCCTAATATTGATCCTAATAGCAAGTACTGTCTAAGCCCTTTAAAGCCTTTTATTCCTCAGGGCTATAGAGCTCCATCATTGTCCAAAAGTTATTAAAAACCAAGTCAAGAGCCACACTATTGCACAAGGTGAAAACTAATCTAATAATGAGATTAGATTATATTCAACTTTTTTGTCATTGCACGAAATACAAGTAATAAGACAATAAAATGCAGTTAGCATCCAACCAGAAATGCTAAATAAGCAGTTAAGTGCAGAGTGATGTCTGGTTTTAATATAAACATTAACATCTGACGGATATAAAACAATTTGAAGTATTAACCTTATGAACTGTATATAGTGGTATAAACATTATAAACATCAGTATAGCAATTGAATACAATGTAGAGCAGGTATAAATATAATAATAATAATAATAAATGGGATTTATGTAGCGCTTTTCTAGACCCAAAGACGCTTTACATTACGAGTAAGGTCGACAAACAAAACAAGAACAAAAACACAAACATAGACATATATATAATATATAATATAGACAGTTATTTATTTGAAACCAATCACACATACTCAGAAAATAGTCCCCTAGAAATGCTGTGTTGAAAAACCACAGTGCACAACTAAAGTTAAAGAAAAATCACATGACCCCCCCTCCCACACACACACACACACACACACACACACACACACACACACACACACACACACACACACACACACACACACACACACACACACACACACACACACACACACTACACCTACTACTACTACTACTACTACTACTACTACTACTACTACTACTACTACACTACTACACACACACACACACACACTACACACACACACACACACACACACACACACACACACACACACACACACACACACACACACACACACACACACACACACACACACACACACACACACACACACTACTACTACACACACTACTACTACACACACACACACACTACTACTACTACACACACACACACACACACACACACACACACACACACACACACACACACACACACACACACACACACACACACACACACACACACACACACACCGTATCTTCTAACCTTCCCTTGATTCTCTCATAATAAACTGCTGGCATGGCTCTTTCCCCCCCCCCCTTGCTGCTGAACTCTGACCTTCTCATACCCGCTCAGTTGCATAACTTCCCGAGTGTGTGCTGTAACCCGTAGATGCTACAGTCAGTCTGAACCGTGTAACCGTGTCCACCGTGTCTGGACAAGACTACTCGTGGTATCTGTTATCTTGTAGATTGTGGCCTTGTTTGAATATGACTAAAATGCATCTTTCTTTTTTTTCTTTGCATTTCCCACATATTTGAGCAAGGCCTGTGTGCTTCTCTGTCGGTTTTGTCCTCTTGGTTGTTGTCACTCATCAGACAGGAGATCGCGTGGAGTTTGGACGCAAAGATGAATATGTGTTAAAGACGATGCAATTCTTTCTGGGGGGGGCGTGGCGATTCATCAGCTGAAATCTAAGTTGTTGGTTATGCATTCAGAGTGATTACTAAAAACAATTGTTTTGTGTCTCACTTTTGAGTCTTAACTACTGGAACGGTGTGATTGCGGTGTTTTGAATGTGCTACTGAGAATGACACGTCTTTGTTTTACTTACCATGTTTGGTGTCACAATGTCACATGGTGGGGAATTGTCGCATTGGCTGAATACAAGTCTCTGCAGGGGGAACCAAAACTAAAGCCTGCATCAACATGTCTGTGCTCAGAAGTATTATCATTTTCCTTACCAATCATAACTTCAATGGTTACACATTTAAGGATTTACTGAGCGTTAAGTTCCAACCATTTATTCCAAAACTATGTTTGCGTTATTTAGGCAGTTTAGCAGTTTAATTTTGATTCTGGGAGCAATAAACATTTTTATGAGGCGTCCAACGTGTCCAAAATAGATTTTCTAAACTGCAGTTCTCCCGACACATTTGTATTTCTTCTCTGTGATAGTCTCTTGTAGCAATTATCTGGCATTTCACTCCCAGCTCCTTTATCCAGCAGCCTAAGAACACTGTTTTAGCCTCCTATTTGTGTCATGTAATGGTTCAATCCCTTATATGTGTGTCACTATCAGTCACCCTCCCTCTCTGCACATTTTCCCTGAAACTTTTTCACTTCAACTTATTTTACAAATCTTGTTTTGGGGGTTATTAAGGTCACATCCTCTATCTGTGATGTTACTTTTGGGAGAAAATCTGTCAAGTGGGAGCATATTTGAAAAAGTCCTCATTTGCACTTCAATAGTAGCTTCACTTCAAAAGTCACAAACTGAGATGGGTGGTCTTAACATGTTCAAGTAATTTTTCAAGGAGAGGCTAAACATAGTAAAAGTAGAAGCAATTATGGAGGAGATTGGCCGCCTGGTGATCAGTAATGACTTTAATAATGGGATTAAATTATTTTGTGTACTGTGACGACACTGGCCATATGCGTAAGCCTTTCCCATTTCCTAACAGCAAAAGATTATCTGAAGACCTACAGATGAAAGATCAAAAAGGGGGATTATTTTCCCTCTCTGTGCTCCAAGTTTTCTGTTTTCCTATTTTACCCCTCTTTTCATCCCTCACTCCACACAGCTGATCCCTCCCACCTCCTCTCTGTAGGTGTTTTGTCCTCTCACTATCACAGTGCTCCTGCCCTCTTTTGATTTTCTCCTCCATTTTCTTTCCTCCCTCCACCCACTCTCTGTCTTCTACTCTCTTGCCACATTACTTCCACCACTCTTTCTCTCCCACCCACCCTGGCATCCACTATGTCCCTCCCTCATGCTCTTTCCCCCTTTGTCTTGTGGAAGTTGAGCCCTATGTGGGGATGCCACGCCGAAGACCCCTCTCCTTGTGCCCCTGCTGGTCCCCTGAAGGTAACGTAACCTCGCCTCCACTGACGGTTGTGGCGGGTTACCGTGGAAACTGTAGGGATCTCCAAACCCGGGCTAAACCCTCAGGCACTTCCCCATCATCCTCCCAACCGGTCCTCCTCCTCCCCTTCCTCACTGTTTGTGTGTGATCAGGCTCAGTAGATTTCCCCAGAATGTCTCTAAAACTAAGTATTGCAGCATTTATAACAAGTACATTGATTTTAAATGTTAAAAAAAAGCTCCAAATATACATTTTATCACAAATTTGTGCTGTTAAATAGTTTTGGGTTTATCGCTATCATGACAGTTATTTTATGTAGATTTTTCATCTTCCAAGAAATCAAGGTTCACTTTACCTTTCCAACAATGGATAGTCAGTAGGTCATGATGCAGTACACAAATAAATAGCAGGACTGAATAACGTTTTTAAGGGTTAGGTCACCTGCAACCCAACAAAAAGTGGTAGTAAGTTACCAATACATTACTTCTGTTGGTAGTAATTAATTATTAGTCTCCATAGCTCAAGGATAAAAGCTGTACATATAATTGAAAATGTTAATGTGTGATGTAACATTGTCCAAAGGTATTGAGTTTAAGGAGTTTAAGGGGGTTCTAGGCTTTGATTTGGGTACTTTTCATTAATAAAATCTTTGTTTATGGTTAGGGTTCAGGGAACGCACTCTGACAATTCCTCTAGTGTGAGCAATATAAATCATAATAATGGATTGTAAATTAGGTAATAAATCATTGAATATAACCACACAACCATCGTGCCTCATAAAATGAGTGTGCAGAACATATTTGCCTTATCATGCCTACAAGTCTGCATTCACTCCAAGGGGAAACTACTCTGCTGCAGTGTGTCTCTAAACAAAAGCATGTGTCCGGTTTTCTGTTTGGCTCAAATGAAGCATAAAGCTCCCTCGTCCTTTTTTGCAGTATCTTTTTTTGTACTTTTTATCCCTTGAACAAAAGTTTAAAGTGTCTTGTAATCATAAAATGGTAATCAAAACTTGGGCGGCGAACACCTGAGACGCAGTAAGCTCGCGGGCAAGTTTGCGATTCAAGGAGGGAGAAAACGGCATGGTGTGATGATTTGTTATGAATATTCAGGTCTTACACAAAACAAGTCCTTAAACATGAATGTAGGCCTATCATCTGCTTTGTTCCCGATCGTAACACCTTTCAGTGGAAATGTTGCCTGAGCGTCTAACGAAACCTCGTTTTGTGTTTTTTGTGCGATCTGATGTTTTGTTCCATTGTTGCTGTCGCTGCCTTGTACCGCTCTACTCTCCTTTGTGTTCTGGGCCTTGGGCTGAAGGGTGGCTACGGTGGAACAAGTAGTAATAGTTTAAGATACAAGGAACATTTCTAGGATCGATTTTGGAAACCAAGCGTTGCTTTTTGTGTCGCCAAATGTTATATTCCTCTCGTGTGAGCAGCTCTCCTCCAGCTTTTCCTCTCTCTCTGTCCCTTGTCTGTTAATTAGCGAGATCCAGACCCCAAGACAACCACCACGCGATCTATGTTTGTACACTGTTTTTCCTTTTTGTTTTGCAAGAGCCTCCTCTTCCCCAGCTAAGTATGTCACGCTGCATCTAGCCTTTGCCTTCTGGTGTTTCATTGATACCGCTTGGCTCCACATACTTCAGTCAGATAAGTGAAAAGGCATCGCCCCCGGCAACAGACTTTTCTAAGCATACCACATGCCAACAGTCGGACTGCAGTGTGCGGTCTCTGACTGATCGAGGCAATTACAGAAAACGGCAATGCACGGTGCCAATAGCGCTGAATATGCTTTTCCCTGGACCAGACTTAATAGAGTAGTCTTAACTTCCCTACTGGTCTCAATGATAAGTCATCCCATGAACATTTAACCTTATAATTGAATGTGTAGAGACAGCGGAATAATTCATGCTTTCTTTTTTATTCCACCCTCAAACCGCTCAGCGGGAATGGGATGTTAAAGGATCTCTGCTGATGGGTCAATATGCGGGAAAGGGGAGGGTGAAGAATTTTCCTCGAGTCCTCAGGTTTAATTCTCCCTATTTCTAATGGTTGGTGTGTTTCTTCTTTTACCAACCAAAAGGAAAAGGTTATACAAGGAGGTAGTTGCTCCCCAATAGCAGCTACGTCTGAGTCCAAACTGGGTAACACAAACGCTCAACTATGTAAACAGGCATTGTCTCTTTGTGTGTGCGTGTGGGTTGTGTGTGTGTGTGTGTGTGTTTGTGTGTTTTTTAACCAAAGTTGAAACCTGTAGCTCCACGCCATCTTCTGTGTACCATCATTAAGTATGACACAGCCGAGTCCATCCCATCACCTCACCATCGCCCAGCAAGGTCATCCTGGCTTGGCTGTCACCACATTGCCTGTGTCAGTCCTCGTCTGTGTGACATCATCTTCATCCCTGCCATCTGGTGTCTCACTCCCTCTCTGTTCTTCCTCCTTCCTCTCCAGGCATGGGCAAGAAGGACGACCCCAAGCTAATGCAGGAGTGGTTCAAGCTGGTGCAGGAGAAAAACGCCCTGGTCCGCTATGAGTCAGAACTTATGATATTGTAAGTACTTTACGTGACTGTTGAGACGGATAAGCTAACTGATGAAGTGATTTGTCAGAAGGGCTTTTATATTCAAGGCTGTGGGTTATTGGTTGCTGTTCGAAAAATATCACTCGACACCAGGTTGAGAATCAATGATCAGGTAACTCATTTATTCTTGCAAGAAGGAGCAGAGTTAAATCACATACAAAGGATATGGGTTAACTCACACACATGAGGTATGTTGCTCAAAGGAACAGCAAAAAACATCAGGCTGATATAGTCCAAAACACGGAGAGTAAAGCCGTAAAAGGACGGTGGCTGCGGGTGTTGGAATGTCAGCCGTAGGTGAAGAGAAGATGGGACAACTGGATGGGTCATCTGTGACTTCTGGACTCCCAACAATGTGAGATAATATAGGAGACTGTCTCCTCAGAATAACACAAACAACCTGAAATGAACAAATAAGTCCCTGCCTCCTCAGAATAGAACAACAAGCTGTTATCATTAGAGGAGGCAGCTGCAAGGTCGTACAGTCTCAGAGCCACACATGATATCAGTGCATTAAAACAACCCAGAGAGTGGAGAAAACAGTATTTCTCCAACAGTTGCTAGGCCAACGGTTGTAGGAAGGAGGCATCCAGTTGGAAATGTGGTGTTTTATGAGAATATAAAAATGACATACACACGTTTGATTGTTCAACTTATACAACCCAAATACACATATACAAAAAACTGTAAAAGTTATTACTTTTAAATAGTGACAAACAAATGCAAGTTTAAACTCAATAAACAATTGTAGGCTGAATCCTTAGTGGCTAAGGCTAAACATGTATATAAAAAAAGAGTATGTTAAATAGGCTAAAATCTTTTACATGAGTAATGTTTTAAAATCCTCACTGAATGCATGTCTATACTCCCAACGGACAATATAATAATGATAGTTATGTTTTTACTAAAGGACAGCTTTAGTCACACTATGACATAAGATTGATCAGAATCAGAGTAGCGTTATTCATCCCTCAGGAACGGTGACATTTACAAAAGAAAAGGGGCCCCATTATACTTGTTGGGGTTTCCCTTTCCTGTAGAGTGTTCAATATAGGTTGTTTGCGCATGTAATTGGTCTGCAAAGGCTAAAATCAACAAAGTTCATTCCCCCCCGTTGAGACGTTCCATTCTGAACCAAACAAAGAATGATATTGTCATCCCTAAATATGTAATGCTACCTGTAAAAAATAGTCAGTATTCCATCACTTTAAAGCAAGGCAAAAAAAACTAAACCGAGCACACAAAAGATGATAAACTGACTTATTACCTCCGTACATCATGAGTTTAAAAAGATTGTCAGCCAGTACGAACTCATCATCATCTTTCAACATAATGATATGATATGTGATCACATTTGCAATCCATTAAGAGAAACAACTTCACTACACTGACAAGTCATTCAGTTATCCAGCGTTATCTTATGATTAGCTACTAAAAGCTTTTAGATTAACTGTTCATCTTCTTTAGAACAGCTATTTATTAAATATACTTGGATAACTGAAGATGCAGCCAAACACCATAAATGATGAAAGCAACGATTCATCCGTGAAACTTAACTCGTCCATCTTTTTTTCCTTTCTCTACCCAAAGCGCCAGAGAGCTGGAGCTGGAGGACCGACAGAGCCGACTGCAGCAGGAGCTCAGGGAGCGCATGGCTGTGGAAGGTAACAGAAAGAAAATGAAATGACAGCCCTGTCATTCAAAAACAGAGCTAAGTCCCAGATCAAATGCACTATAAAGGGTCTTTGAGCATGTTTCTCTGTGAGTGTTTTTTTTCATGTATTGTTTCTTGATGTCTGTCCATGTTGATGTTACATGGAACTGCTGTGATGCAAGTCAAATTTCAGACTTGCTCTGACAATTAAAGTATTATCCTTATTATCATATCATAAATGTTTAGGGAAGGCTTAATGTGCAGATTGTTATTGTGTTTTATATTTAAGATAAATCACATTGTGGTTCATTTTTGCAATAATGACCAGCTCGCTGCAGATTGTCCCTCAAATCCATAACTTACACAAAATGTTGATTTAAAGTATATTTTCTTGATTTTCTTAAATGTTATTGTATTGCTTCTGCTAAAAAAGATGGTCGGTTCCGCTGCATAGCAGTAGCAGTAGCTGTAGTTGCAATGATAGCAAAGTAACTTAAAGTGACGGCAGCAATGATTAAGGTTTCTTCATTGTAAGTGCTCAAGTCTGTACACATTTTCCCGTTTCACTTCCCGTCACTCATCTACTGTTCATGTCTCTGTCGTCCACCTCTCCTGACCTTTTTTGTGCTGGATTCTTGTTGTTTTCTATTCCCCCCCCCCCTTGTGATGTTCAGCTCTCATGAATCATGAAGTGTTGTGCTCTCCACAAACTGTATATACAAATAGAAACAAAAACAAATATTCCATAGTGTTTTCTGATACAGGAATAAACGTAAAAAATGTACCATATTTCTTTCTTCTTGGATGACTGAAAGCAGACTAATGATCAGCGCTTCCATAGCAGCTGCCTGCTATACAGAAATAACTTGCCGAAGCAGGACGCAACTGACCAATCAGAATAGAGTATTTAACTAAGCTGTTTTTCAAATCTGCGTAATATTCTCCCACTCTTTAACTCTTTTCCTTTGACTCTCTCGCAGACCACCTGAAGACGGAGAAGGAGCTGAATCAAGAGAAGCAGATCCTAAATGAGATGCTGGAGGTGGTGGAGCAGCGTGACGCCCTGGTGGCGCTCCTCGATGAGCAGAGGCTGCGGGAGAAGGAGGAGGACAAGGACCTGGAGTCTGTTATGCTCTCCAAAGGCTTCAATCTCAACTGGGCTTAAGAGGAGAGAAATAATTGCTCATCAAGTCCTGGGTAAATGTCTGAGGCGGTCTCTGCCTCTCATGGTCATCTCTGATCAGGATACTCTGCTGAACACCTGCAGCAGTGAATGTGTAAAGACTCCCCCGACACACGCTAAAACACTTCGGCTGCCTCTGACATTGAAGCGGTCCGCGACGTTTACATATCCTAAGCCCAAAGGCAGTCCCACGTTAATCACTTTGCAGTTTTGCTTGCTCTCTCTCTCTGAGGGGAGTACATTCACAGCTTTATCATCCCAGCCTTCAAGTGGATCCTCTCAACAAAAAAAAAGGGAGGCCTTTGGGAGAATGTTTGAAAGACTTGTTTCATTCTCGATTATCTAAAGGGAAGAATGCAGTTTGGTCCTGCCGATGTAAAGGAATTGTAAAGAATTGTTTTGTGTTGTGTAGAACAAGTCACATATTCAGCAGATAAGGGTGCTTTCTTTTTTTCTGAAAAAGGACTGCTACAGATGAGTGTTTAAGTGCTGGAGGGAAGTCACCGGGGTCAATCTTCTTTTCAGTCTGACTGTAGGATGGACATCCTCTGCTGAAGCTGCCTTTCTATCCAGTGACAAACTGACTTCTTATGAACCATAAAGACACCCCCCCCCCCCCCCCACAGTGTTCTCATGAATCAACACTAACAATCCATTGGCCATGGGTTTTATGTATTTATTATCTTTGTTTGCTTTTAACACATAAACCTTTTTGTTTTTGCATTCACAGGAGAGTGCCCAGAATCTCATTATCGAGCACTTGTGCATGGCTCAGACTCTCCCATAAGCCATTGCATGTCAGGAATGAAGGCTGCAGGCACATGGAGGAGCTATTTGTTAAGCTAGAAAAACAGAATTATATATAAACACTTCAGCATTTCACAAGAGTCAACAATGATGGGCCTCTCCTTGACATGCCACTCACTGCATATCACGCTCACGGTTTACAAATATGTTTTCTCGCTTTGGTAAACAACAGTGAGGTAAAACAACTGTTGAAATAATTCATCTTTGAAGGATCTGTCTCTTCAATTTCAGATGTGTTTCCGACCTTGTGTGTTATCCTAAATGAAGCCGGTTTCACAGTTCTTAATGGGAGATCCACGTAGCTTACAATACTCATTTTGTGCCACAGGACTGTCTCTTTTGGTGGATATGCTGCAATATCTGAAGAGTACACCACGAGGACTTACACACCACTCACATCAGTAAACAGCAGTGTTACTTTACTCTTGAACAAGATGCCTTTTTCATTTTTATTCTCCTCACTTAAGTTATATTTTATTTTTCTGAGTCAACGTTGTTGAGGTAGTCACATATGTGTATCCCACTGGAACTCAAGACTTTTTATTTCTCAAATAATTTCATACAGCAGGTCCCCAAACATACTAACTGATTTTAAACAGGGGGGGATGAAGAAGTGCAAAGTGCTTTATGAGAAACTTGCATTAAACAGAACCGTTATGGTCCGTTATATCTAGTGGGCAGTCAAATCTAATAGCCTTCTTGACAACTGTAAACAATCCAGATGGTCACGGAAACGCCAGAGGCTATATTTATGACTTGGTAAGAGCTGTGAATAAAAAACAAAGTGAGATCATTTTAAGGGTTGTTGTTTTAGATGGTGTGTGATAAGTTTGACATGATTGTATTGATATTTATTAACAAGTGTGCAAACTGTATTATATGTAAAGAAAAATGAATCCTAATTTTTAAACTGTTCTGTTGACACATGACTTGTAATGTAAATGCTTCATGTAGCTAAAATGCATAGAGGTGTTGGATGTATGCTGAAACGGCAATAAAACAATGCAGTTGTTCTTTTAAATGTCTGTGCATTAAGTCTCACTTTACAAACCAAAGACATGATCATTGATTTTTAGAAGACATCCCCACATACATGAAGTCTTATCCATCAAGAATCAGAGAGTGGAAGTTATGCAATCGTAAAAATATTGACTCCAATTTGAACTTTTAAGCACATTTTAAAGTCATGTGCAAAAAGGGGCACCAGTGCTTTTTGTCTTCGGAAACTGCCCCTATTTTAAAATGTACAATCCATGATGGATATATTTATCAAGCTTTTATTGAGTCAAATATGTATTTTAACCTGTCTTTTTAAAGAGCAGAAACTATCACTCAGTTCATAAAGTGGTCATAGCAGACTAACTGGTGCGCCAGAGCTAAACCTGGAGACCCTGTTCCTCAGATAGTTACAGCGATTATATAGCCCTATATTGAATGATGACTCCCACCCTCTTCACACAGAATTCAAGCTTATTCCTTCGGGACAGAGGTTATTTGCCCCAAAGTGTAGAACTTAAACGTTTTGAACAGCTTTGTTCCAGCAGCCATCGCACAAGTAACAAGTTTTAGCAGTGTTAGGCAGATGCTATGGATGCAATGCTAATATATTTATATTAACTTTCAGGATTGCTCCTGTTTGAACTAGTGTTTTTTTAGATGTGATGGAGCACAGGGTACTTTTTTTGAGAGTTGTCTGTGTTGTTTAAGAATGTGTGTGATAATGGATCCCTTTTCCTTTATCTGCAAACCAGATCCACCTACAGTACGGGTACAAACAAGTAACCTGAAGAACCTGAACTTTGGTGCGAGGTAAGATGGAGAGGTGGCGAGGAGGAAAGTGTCAAGGAAGCCAACAGGTGGAAAAGCGGGGCGAGGAAGCATAGTGGCACAGAGAAAGTGGACATTGTTTTGAGATTGAGTTTCTGTGTCCATAACCCACCACAGCCTTAACATGTCATTGTCATGATTTTCTCTGACTTATTATGGTTTTCATTTAATATATTCCATCTTCTTTAAAGAGATACAAAGTTATGTCTCTTGATCTGTATTTGTTTCTAAAAGCCCTTGAAAATGTCAGATGTCTTTTAAATGTCCTGCAATTAAATAAGGAGCAAACAGAAACAATTATGTGTCAAAAAGTGCTTAACTTGAAGCCCTAACGTTAAACATTTTTAATAATGTCAGAAATCTTGGTGTAGTTCTGGGCTCTTACCAACATTTTAAAACCTACATCAGCATAATTACATAATCAGCATACCGACTTAAATTAAAAATAGCCAAACCAAAACCACTCAAGTCTCAACACGAACTAGAGAAACGGGGGGTTACGTATTGTAACCCTAGTTATATAAGCACAGGCGGAGCCCTCTACTGGCCTCTATGGGTACTACCCTCAATCATGCTATGCAAGCATTCACCTACTGAGATATCTATAAACGTAGCCGGCCCCTCGGGGGTGGGCCTACCTGAATGCGCGTGCATTATGTCCAGGGGGGGG